GAAGCCAAAAGACTGTGGCTTACCATGGCTGCCTGCAAGCCGAAATCTGTTGCCCGGTCCTGCGTGTGTGATCTCTCACACCAAACCGGCAGGCCCTCAATATAAGAGGCAAAATGCAATCTTGTTCTCTAAAATGTGTCTTTTTAAATACTACTCTCCCTTTTTTTCCCTACCGCAGCTGCAAATGTTTCAATGCTCCCCCTATCATCTCTGTTCCAGAGGCTTGCACAGATAAGAAGGTGAAGAAAACGCACTCGCGATGAAATGTTCTCTGAGCTTATGCGGTCCTCTCGCACTGAAAGAGACCAGCAAAATGCATGGAGGCAGACAATGTCAGAGTCCAGGAAAGCACAAAATGAAAGCGAGGACAGGAGGGAAGCGTGAGAGCATAGATGGCTGGAGCAAGAGGAGTGGTGGCAGCAGCATGATGAGAGGAGGCAGGAAGCAATGCTGAGGCTACTGGAGCATCAAACTGATATACTCCAGCGTATGGTTGAGCTGCAGGAAAGGCAGCAGGAGCGCAGACCGCTGCTTCAGCCCCTGTGTAACTGACTGCCCTCCTCCCCAAGTTCCATAGCCTCCTCTCCCAGACGCCCAAGAACGCGGGGAGGGGGGCTCCGGGCACCCAACCACTCCACCCCAGAGGACTGCCCAAGCAACAGAAGGCTGGCATTCAATAAGTTGTGAAGTGCAGTGTGGCCTTGTCCTTCCCTCCTCCCACACCCCACCTGGTGCTTCCCTTCTCCCCCACCCCTCCCGGGCTACCTTGGCAGTTATCCCCCTATTTGTGTGATGAATTAATAAAGAATGCATGAATTTGAAACAATGACTTTATTGCCCCTGCAAGCGGTGATCGAAGGGGGGAGGGGAGGGCGGTTGTTTTACAGGGAAGTAGAGTGAACCAAGGGGGAGGGTTTTCATCAAGGAGAAACAAACAGAACTTTCACACCGCAGCTTGGCCAGTCATGAAACTGGTTTTCAAAGCTTCTCTGATGCACAGCGTGCCCTGCTATGCTCTTCTAACCGCCCTGGTGTCTGGCTGCACGTAATCAGCAGCCAGACGTTTTGCCTCAACCTCCCACCCCGCCATAAACGTCTCCCCCTTACTCTCACAGATATTGTGGAGCACACAGCAAGCAGTAATAACGATGGGAATATTGGTTTCGCTGAGGTCTAACTGAGTCAGTAAACTGCGCCAGCGAGCTTTTAAACTTCCAAATGCACATTCTACCACCATTCTGCATTTGTTCAGCCAATCAAGTTTGTTTACATTTGCATGAGATAATGCTGCCCACTTCTTGTTTATAATGTCACCTGAAAGTGAGAACAGGAATTCCCATGGCACTGTTGTAGCCAGTGTTGGGGGGAGGGATGGCTCAGTGGTTTGAGCATTGGCCTGCTAAACCCAGGGTTGTGAGTTCAATCCTTGAGGGGGCCACTTAGGGATCTGGGGCAAAATCAGTACTTGGTCCTGCTGGTGAAGGCAGGGGCTGGACTCAATGACCTTTCAAGGTCCCTTCCAGTTCTAGGGGATAGGATATCTCCATTAATTAACTTTAACTTTAAGATATTTACATGCCAAATGCCCTAAAGATTCATACGTCCCTTCATGCTTCAACCACCATTCCAGAGGACATGCATCCATGCTTATGACAGGTTTTGCTTGATAACAATCCAAAGCAGTGAGGGCTGAGGCATGTTCATTTTCATCATGAGTCAGATGCCACCAGCAGAAGGTTCGGTGGTTCGGGTTCTTGTAGTTTCTGCATTGGAGCGTTACTCTTTTAAGACTTCTGAAAGCATGCTCCACACCTCGTCCCTCTCAGATTTTGGACTGCACTTCAGATTCCTAAACCTTGGGTTGAGTGCCGTAGCTATCTTTAGAAATCTCACATTGGTACTTTCTTTGAAAGTGAAAATGTTCTTAAAACAAACGTGCTGGATCATCAGCCGAGACTGCTATAACATGAAATATATGGCAGACTGTGGGTAAAACAGAGCAGGAGACATACAATTCTCTCCCAAGGAGTTCAGTCACAAATTTAATTAACTCATTTTTTTTAACAAGCATCATCAGCATGGAAGCATGTCCTCTGGAATGGTGGCCAAAGCATGAAGGGGCATACAAATGTTTAGCATATCTGGCACATAAACACCTTGCAATGCTGGCTACAAAAGTGCCATGTGAATGCCTGTTCTCACTTTCAGGTGACATTGTAAATAATACGCAGGCACCATTATGTCCTGTAAATGTAAACAAACTTGATTTTATATACCTGTATCATATCCCCCCTTAGTCGCCTCTTTTCCAAGCTGAAAAGTCCTAGCCTCTTTAATCTCTCCTCATATGGGACCCGTTCCAAACCCCTAATCATTTTAGTTGCCCTTCTCTGAACTTTTTCTAATGCCAGTATATCTTTTTTGAGATGAGGAGACCACATCTGTATGCAGTATTCAAGATGTGGGTGTACCATGGATTTATATAAGGGCAATAAGATATTCTCCGTCTTATTCTCTATCCCTTTTTGAATGATTCCTAACATCCTGTTTGCTTTTTTGACTGCCGCTGCACACTGCGTGGACGTCTTCAGAGAACTATCCATGATGACTCCAAGATCTTGTTCCTGATTAGTTGTAACTAAATTAGCCCCCATCATATTGTATGTATAGTTGGGGTTATTTTTTCCAATGTGCATTACTTTACATTTATCCATCTTAAATTTCATTTGCCATTTTGTTGCCCAATCACTTAGTTTTGTGAGATCTTTTTGAAGTTCGTCACAATCTGCTTTGGTCTTAACTATCTTGAGCAGTTTAGTATCATCTGCAAACTTTGCCACCTCACTGTTTATCCCTTTCTCCGGATCATTTATGAGTAAGTTGAATAGGATTGGTCCTAGGACTGACCCTTAGGGAACACAACTAGTTACCCCTCGCCATTTTGAAAATTTACCATTTATTCCTACCCTTTGTTCCCTGTCTTTTAACCAGTTCTCAATCTATGAAAGGATCTTCCCTCTCATCCCATGACAACTTAATTTACATAAGAGCCTTTGGTGAGGGACCTTGTCAAAGGCTTTCTGGAAATCTAAGTACACTAGATCCCCCTTGTCCACATGTTTGTTGACCCCTTCAAAGAACTCTAATAGATTAGTAAGACATGATTTCCCTTTACAGAAACCATGTTGACTTTTGCCCAACAAGTTATGTTCCTGTGTCTGACAATTTTATTCTTTACTATTGTTTCAACTAATTTGCTCAGTACTGACGTTAGACTTACCGGTCTGTAATTGCCGGGATCACCTCTAGAGGCCTTTTTAAATATCAGTGTTACATTAGGTATCTTCCAGTCATTGGGTACAGAAGCTGATTTAAAGGACAGGTTACAAACCATAGTTAATAGTTCTGCAATTTCACATTTGAGTTCTTTCAGAACTCTTGGGTAAATGCCACCTGGTCCCGGTGACTTATTACTGTTAAGTTTATCAATTAATTCCAAAACCTCCTCTAGTGACACTTCAATCTGTGACAATTCCTCAGATTTGTCACCTACAAAGGATGGCTCAGGTTTGGGAATCTCCCTAACATCCTCAGCCGTGAAGACTGAAGCAAAGAATTCAGTTTCTCCACAATGACTTTATCATCTTTAAGTGCTCCTTTTGTATCTTGATCGTCCAGGGGCCCCACTGGTTATTTAGCAGGCATCCTGCTTCAGATGTACTTAATATTTTGTTAAGTATCAGAGGGGTAGCTGTGTTAGTCTGAATCTGTAAAAAGCAACAGAGGGTCCTGTGGCACCTTTGAGACTATCAGAAGTATTGGGAGCATAAGCTTTCATGGGTAAGAACCTCACTTTATTACCTTTTGAGTTTTTGGCTAGCTGTTCAAACTCCTTTTTGGCATTTCTTATTACATTTTTACACTTAATTTGATAGTGTTTATGCTCCTTTCTATTTACCTAGCTACAACTGAATGAGGTGGGTCTTTGTATTGCAGTACAGTGAGATGAATCCTGTCCTAAAACCACTTATGCAGGTCTAATTCTATACTCAAAAGTTGTACTGGTATAACTTTTGGTGAGGGTTTTTTTTTAATCTATCTACCAGTACAAACCCTAGTGGGGAGACAGTTATACTGGTACAACATATTCCCATTCCTGTACAGGATTAAGCTAATCAGTATAACCACCTCTATAGAAATTTACTGTCTTAACTATGCTGGTACAACCCTTCGAATGTAGATAAGGCTCCCCTAGTGAAGTTAGTAGTTTTTGTACTTCAGGCAGTCCAAGCACCATTCAAATATAATGAAAACAAGTGGAAGCTACTTTAACTATAACCCTGGTGTGTTGCTTTCATTATCAACCTCACTTCCTTCTGCCTTCCTGTTCAGGTGTAGAGTCCAGCTAGTTTTATGAAAAATCTCAAGTTCTCTCCCCACCTTAAAATTGTTTTACTACAGGACAGCTCCATTAGTAGGATAACCATCTTTGGGCATTTGTGGCCCTGTGCACAGTGACAATTTTTTCATTTTTTGGTATCTTTCAAACAGCTTCTTTAAAAAGGACAGCAGCTAGTTACAAATAACCCCACCACCTGTTCTTGTGTTCAAATTGGTTTTAACAAAAATTTAGTTAAGGCTGGTGCAAAATGCTCACAAATACTCTTCAGTCAATTTAGATAAGGCCTCTTTACCTACTGATATTAACAGCATTGCCTCTAATTACTTCCACTATAAGAGAAAAAGCTTCAGATTGCATATTAGTTTTCCCTTGGTTTTGTTTTTCATTTGGGGGAAAAATGGTTTTCAAAGAGAGCTACAAAATCCAAAATTGGAAGGGTGGACAGATACATAGTCGATGGAAGCTACATTAGTTGCAACAAAAACTCTGCTTTCAAGTCCTTGTGATGCTGAGTGGCAGTGGAGTTATTTATTGCTGTAGGAAATAGTGACCAAACGAAAGCCACTTTACTTGTAAGAATTCAACCACACTACACTAATGCCATTAAAGTGAAAATACTATACTTTATTTTATAAAAGGAAATTAAAACAAAAACCCTGCCAGTGTGTACATTGTACACATTTGAATGACACTCACAACAATGAAGTTTTATTCAATATACATTGAAAGATCACTAGCCCACACTGGTGAAGGATGATGTTTACAAGCAAATAAATTGGACTTCATAGATGTCACTTCCTGTAAAACTGATGTTTCAAGTCCAGATGACAACAGCAACAATTATACTACAATAGCACTGGTAATGGAGCTTTGGAATTAGTGTCCATGCTATTTATTCCACTACAAACTGTACAGAAAGCAAGGAAAGACTTTATTCAGAGTATGATTCAGGGATAAGATTTGTCATTTGCTGTAATAATTCCTCACTCTTCAGTTGCCATTTTCAACAGATGTTCTTTGTCAATTTTGAAGAGCCTCCATCCTTCCTCAGTGGACAGATCAGAAGCACCTCTTCTCTTGTAGAACCTGATAGAAGGTTCATTCCATTCTGCGACTACAAAGTGCATGCTGCTACAGCGGCATTTGAGAGCAACCTACAAACATATAACCAATATATTTATTAGGTATATAGCAATCTTATTTGTTATGTACACAAATCTATCCTTCCACTCACTGTTGATAGGCAAGAGTCCCCAGCAATATGATTTATTTTGAAGTGGACACCACTACTAAAATGTCTGCAACTGTTTTAAATATAGTTTCCTCCTTTGTGTCTATCACAATTCTGCATCTATGAAGAATCAAACAGATACTAAGCCACTAGTTTACAGAATCTGATAAGCCTGCCCTTATATGTCCATTTATCCACTTTACTACAGCAACTGAATCACTCACTTTCAAGTTCTGTTAAAGGGTAATATTAATTCAGACAACTGACAGACAGACTTGCTTCTCTGCTGTTGTCTTGTGCTAAAAATCTAATGGCGAAAGGAAAAACTACTTACCTGACTCAGATTCTTCAGAATTTCTGAACCAATGCCAAGTCCTAAAAAGTCAAGAAATGTTAGTTGTAATTTTTTAAAAAAGCATATACAATAAACAATACTTTTAAAAGCTATTCCTTAAAACATACCTCTGAACTCAGGCATTACAAAGAAATCTTCAAGGTACAGCAGTTTTCCAATCCATGGGTCATAAGTGAAGTAGTACATGGCAAAACCCACAATAAGATGTCCTGTAACAAAGGATTATAATACATCAGCAAAAAAAACCTTATTTTTGAAAGGCAACAAGATTAGTACATTTCAGCTTACATGCATGTAACCTAAATACCTAGGTGTTCTTTCTGTACATGCAACTATTAATTTATTAACTGTTATAAGCCTGATTTAAGAATGGAAGTTTGCAATAAGCATATTGAGGTGTAGGTAAAATAGGAATTCAGATAGCTTGAGATCTGTGTTGTGGAATGAAGATTATCCTTCTGGTTCCTCAAAGGCAGTGTTTACAGTTATAGCGAACAATGAACAACTAAGGCTTTCTGCTACAGACACATTATACATACCCTACTGATTTATCAGTATGTCCACTTTGGATTATAAATTGGTTTACATTTTACACGGCAGTTCAGAATATGGTGGCAGTTAACTCAATTCTGCTTTCTTAAAAATCAGAACACAACACTAATAGTAGAATCTAAAAACACACACCTTTAAAGTCTGTCTTCCAATTAATATTTCTCAAATTGCTCAGTGGGAAAACCAGGAGTGCTCACAGGCAGCCATTAGTTAACATAATGGCATCTCCAGCACTGCCTCATCTGTGTTCCCACTGATAAAGTAGTAGTCTGTCTCCTTTATCCTGGGCACCAGAAAGATATCTACTTTGGCCAACAGCTTTCCTTGTTTGCTTGAAACAACTCTATGGCTCACCCTGTAAGAGGAGCCAACCAGTCAGTGCAAAACTGGTACCCTCTTCCAACACCATCCCACTCAGTCCTAAAACTTGAGAATTCAAATCATGTTGTTAGCCATAATGCTTTGCACGTACTCATACGAAGAGAGTGCATTCAGAATTTCTGATCTACCGTGTGTTTTTTGGTAAATGCTTGGGAATAGTACTTGTCCCTGTTAGACCTTACCTCATGTATCATGATCATCTACTTTATTGTGTAACGGATCTTTTAGTTACCTCCCCGCCCATCCATGTACACGGAAGGGCCATGTACATGGCGAAGCTAGAGACTGTAACCTGAAGATTGGGGACAAATTAAAGAAAAAATGTGATTCAACAGGATTACATTAAGGTAAATTAGGGTCAAACAAGAACAACCATTTAATGAAATGGAATTACAGTACATCATATATATTATACCTGGTCTCCAGTGCCTTCAGGATGGTTGATCACTTTAGAAAAACATAATGGTTCTTCTATTTCAATAGTTGCATTTTAACACTTTCTTCTTACCCAAATTCACAGCTGGAGCTTTATGTATAATCAGTAGCTTTAAATAATGTTACATACACCCTGTGCATTTCTGATTTTAAAAAAGCAGCAGGATGTCTTACCTTCAGCTGTCCATTGTTCTTCTGGCACTTCTGCAACAAGACAGTGGTAGAAAGGATGCTCACCAAATCCATCTTCAAGCAGATCTATAAGATGACAATAAGCTGATATACATTATATATTAACTATAGTGGGACTATCATCAAAACAAACTCACAGCTGCTAATTCGTTACCTTTTTCAGTTAGGACTACTTGATCTTCCATATCCTCATATTTAGCTAGTTCCTAAAAAAAAAATATATAGGTAAACAAATATATTTCCATGTGTAGAGAAGACATTTCTTACCCAAGTGCTGTTTATACAAAGCAGCGCTGAGAGGAAGCCATTTTCCCTGTGCAGAGAGTGAAGAGCAAGCAGCCCATTGCAGGTGAAGTGAACACAAACAACTTGTTTTTGCCAAGTCAGGAGGGCAAAGGTGTCCTCCACACACCAGCAAAGAAGGGCTGGGTGCTGGGCATACAAAACCACAGGAACAGGGAG